TACTTTCATGGCCATCCTTGCAGAATGCATTCTGGCTACAAGGACATTCATTTGCAAACTATATTCATCCCCTGCATCATGACTCCCCAAATATATCCCATTATGGCGTCTCATAAACCAATCACCGGCCCATAGCACTTCTAAAATACAGTTGAACATGTGTCTGCCATTCCTTGATTAGGGCATAATTCTACTTCCTGTGAGTGATTCTGCATGAGTCCTGGCTCCTCCCGCTGGAGTCTTGACTCTACATGTTAAGTCATTTTTCCTTTTCCATTAGAGATGGCCCATGTTTTGCAGGGGAATAGCTTTTTCATATTACTTCCTGGTTAGCTTGAGATTCTTGACTGTTTTTTGCATTTGAACTGTTTGCTTTTTAGTCCAAGTGGATGGTGATTCTCCTAGTATTACTGTCTTAAAAATTCTGTGGGTTTTCTATGAATTTTACTGTGGCTTATTCCATTAGGCAAAAGTCACACATATGTCTTTGAAACAGGTTCTTTTTTTGCCGGCGGTGCTTAAAAGTCTGCTGTGGCCCATCACCTTAAAGAGTCTTAAACTCTTAGTTTATCCAAGATGGTCTATAAAGTACTGCCTTCAATTTTTTTGAAGTTATAGTAAAAGTCTTTTTTTTTTAAAGATATATTTATTTTAGACAGACAGAGAGAGAGGGAGAGAGAGCGAGCAGACACATGAGTGGTAGAAGGAGCAGAGGTGGAGGAAGAGAGAATCCTCATGCAGGCTCCCTTCTGAGTACAGAGCCTCATGTAGGGCTTGATCTCACAACCCTGAGATCATGACCTGAGCTAAAGTCAAAAATTGGCTGTTTAACCAAATGAGCCACCCAGAGGCCTCAATAAAAGTCTTTTATGTGACTGCCCTCAGACCGTATTTTACTAGAGACATCTTGAATTTGATATTGGTCTTAAGGCTATTTTTACTTTGAGAACCTTTTGTTAGGGTTGAGATTTGGGAATGAGAAATAGCTTTGTTTTTTGATCAAGTCATGGCTCCTTTGTATTTCCTCTAAATTTTGGTTAAAAACTCAAGTGGTCCTCTTTTCCTTTATCTCTATCTATCCGTACCTTGTTACCGAGGCTAAAAGGAACCAGTTGGCACTTTAAGCATTCATACTGGAAAACCCCTTTTCCAGATCCATCTTTTGTGTTTTTCATGTCTCAACTATCAGACAGTTTTGACTGAAATTGGTACCACTATGCAACAGAGGTCTTTCCTACAGCCTTCAACCACAACTTCCTCACAGAGCTGCCAGCCTTTGCCTAACAAGTCTCTCTGAGCTCTCTGGCTTCACTGCCTGTCCTGATAGAAATGCCCCAAATTTCTGTTCAGCCTCTCTGTGGTTGTGTAACAAAACTAGGCGCAAGCATAGTGGCTTCAAACAGTCCTTGTTATTTTCACATACTTTTGTGGGTCAGGAATTTGAGTATATAACTCTATAATTGGATATTGTCGGGGGCTGCTGAGCCTGGAACTTCCACCTCCAGGATGACTTCTGCACGCCCAAGTCTGCAGCTGAGGTGCTCCTTGACCTCAGTTTCCTTCCATGCAGTGTATCATCTTCCACAGCCTCTTTTTGTGGCTTAGGCATCTTAGCATGCTGCTCGTGGGGGTGTGGCCTTCTGTACATGGTGGCTCTTTTCTAAGAGGGAGCTTGGCAGGAAGAGTGGGAGTTCTCAGAGGCAGAGAGGGTGTTACAGGCTGGTTAAGGGCTAGTACTTAGAACTAACACAGTCTCACTCCTATCTTCCATCTTCCAGTTACCAAAGCAGTTGGAAAGGGCTCACCCAGACCCACAAGAATAGAGAAACACACTCTAGCTATTGAAGGGTAGTGGCAAGATCCCTTCCAGAAGAGTATGTGGAGGGGAAGTGTGCTCTGTAGCAGGGATGCAATTTCATGTTTCCCCAAGGGATAACCAGTTGGACCAGAACTCCTTATTGAACAATCCACACCTTCTCATTGATCTGTAATGTCTTTTCTATCATAAATCAGGGTTCTGAAGAAATGGGTGTGTTTGTTTTAGATTGTCTGTCTAGGTCCATCATTTTCACCTGGGAGCCATTTTGCAGGGGACAATATCTGGGAATATTTTTGGTGGTCACCCTTGAGAGGATGTGCTGTTAGCATCCAGTGGTTGGATGCCAGGGAGGCTGCCAACAGGGAGGCACTGCACAGGACAGCTCCCCATAACAAGAATTACCCAGCCCCAATTGTCAGTAATGCTGAGGCTGAGCATCTGCGGTCAGTGCCATCAGTGCTGCCCTGCTGTATTATTTGACTGAGATTTGATGGCTGGTAGGGCAAGTTTCTCATTTCGTTTTTCTTCTTTAAGAATGTCTCGATTGAAAAAAAAAAAAAAAGAATGTCTCGATTGTTTTTGGCCTCTTGCATTTCCATGTAAATTTTATAATCAGTTTATTATATTTCATAGAAAATTTTATATTTTGATTAGAATTTCTTTGTAAGTATATATCTTCATGAGGAATAGTGATGTTGACATTTTACCATTGAATATGGATATTCAATCTTATTATTTACCAACATGATGTATCTCTCTATCGATTTGCTTCATTAATTTCTTTCAATAAATTTTTATAATGTCCTTATTAAAGGGCTGGCATATCTTTTGTGCAAGATGGTTTGTTCTCTTGGCCAGTTAGTTGTGAGGCTTTTAGTAAGTTGCTTTCCTCTTTTGGGACCTCATTTTCCTAAGTAAAAAATGTGATGTTTGGATGCGATCAGCTCTGACAGGCTTTGAAGCCTGAGATCACATGATGAAAGTGTTAAAATGACAGGGAAAACTTTTAGTGCACATAGTAAAAGTAGTCCATTAGGGGGAGCTCTTCTACGTTTCATCTTTGGCTGGGTGGCTGTAAAGCTCCCACCCTGGCCAGCGATAACTGCACATGTTATGACAGAGACCTCCTTTTCCCAGGGCGATGGAAGAACGTGGCCCCCTGGTATCTCTTCAGTCACAGTTCTCCACATAAGAACTTCTGTTTTGGTTTTGGGAAAGTATTACTTGTTTCTGGATGTTGGGGATACAGAAACACATTTTGAACCCAGGAGACTGTTTATAGGTCATCCAATGTAATCCCTTTATTTGACAAATGAACCAACTTTGACTTAGAGACACTGTTGCAGACTATTCATGAGAGAATTAGGGCTGGAATTCAGGTCAGATTTTCACATTTTAGTTGAAGGGGTTGGGAGGGTTAACTGTGGTATCAGTGGTGGACTGGGTTAGGGATGGTGTTGAATTTTTAAAGAACTGACAAATGGGTGACCTGTGATTTCCCTGGACGCATTATATGCGTATGTGAATGTGAGAGTGTGTGTGTGTGTACCCGAGTGTGTGCATGCGTGCTGTACTTTGGTTGACAGTAGGACTTCCATTGTAATTATTAGCTTCTCAGAGATAGGATTGGACTTCTGTAAGCCAGCTTTTGCTTAAGAGGTAGAGTAACTTTGACTGGCTTTAGTGATTTATTTAATTTGTATTTTGGAATTGTTTGGAAATACCTGCCTTGGCAACCTGATTAAAAAATTTCATCTGTCGGGCGCCAGCATGGCTCAGTGGGTTAAGCCGCTGCCTTCGGATCTCAGGGTCCTGGGATCGAGTCCCGCATCGGGTTCTCTGCTCAGCAGGGAGCCTGCTTCCCTCTCTCTCTCTCTCTGCCTGCCTCTCTGCCTACTTGTGATCTCTCTCTGTCAAATAAATAAATAAAATCTTAAAAAAAATTTTTCATCTGTCTTTCATTTTATTTGTCTTTAACTCGACTTAATGATTTCATTTTTTTCTCACTGACTTTTCAAATAAAGTGGAATTACTGGATATTCTTTTAGAGAAGATGAAACTGGACGTTTTTTCATTAGCCATCCTTTTTCAGGTCTATTGTGACTATTTTTGAAATGTTCCTCCATAGTCCTTATTATATGTGATTCTCCTGATTCACCTCAATACAGACTTTTTTGGTAAACTGTAGACATTTAAAAAATTCTTTATTTCTGTATGTATTTAAAAATAAGATATTATCATTTATTTGGATTATTTTTTCTCTGGGTATCATGGATAATATTTTATACCTTTATTTTGGCTTAAATAAATAAAAAAGTAAACTACCTATTGGCTTCCATGTTAACATTAAGAAGGAGAGTTCTTGTGTTACTTTTTCAAGGCAGTGCAATCTATCTTTTTCTAACAGAAAAAGATCCTCTGAGGAAAATGTTTATTTAACTACCTTCTGTTGTTCTTTACCAGGTATAGTCTAGAATAGTTTAAAGATTAGATTGTATTTAGGCTTCTGTGTTAGTCCAAGGAGTGGTGGTGCCAATGTCTTGGAGAGGTAGGACACAGAAGGGTACAAAAGGCAGAAGAAGGACATTGGGCACCTTCTCACCTCCTTCAAGATCAAGGCTTCCATCTCATTGTGAAGTGTTCTGTATTCAAGGATAAGAAGATTGTATTTGAAATAGATGTAAAAATGAATAATAGGCTAAAAGATTTTTGTGCCAATATACTCTTTCTCAGCAAGTGTCACTGAGGATTAGTCTGTCCATAATTTCTCTTTGCATATATAACATTTATAAATTTTGGAGAATTGTGAGACGGTTAAGTATTTTGAGCTGGGTGAAAGAAATGGCTTGCCCTAGCAGCTGTTAAGAACATCTTTAATCATGAAAATCGTTTGATAAGAGAATATATTTCTATTTCTTTATTTCATAACGTGTCACATGTTTGGTTCCTGTTTTTCTTCATAAATGTTTATCTGATAGGGATAATGAATGGACATTAGAAAAACTCATATGTTGGGTACAGTGAGCCACATGTGATAATTTGATTGAGCATGACCTCATTTATTATCTGAGGTTTGGAATTATTATATAAATTCCCAAGGAGACAAGAAATGGGAACTATTGTTAAAATATAGGTATCTCCCATAGACTACAATAATAGAGATTTCTTTCTTGGTTTTTAGATTTCCTCCTTCCTCACCCCTGAAACCATATCCAAAGAAGCCTACATGCCAAAAGGATGTTATTAAATTTCCAGAGTGGAATGACCCCCCACCAAGCACTTCACAAGAGAACATCCCAGTGAGGCCAGTTGTGATGGTAAGTGTGTTACTAAAAGCTGGGCAGGGAGGTGGGGGTGGAACAGGGTGGTGATGGTGGTGGTGGTGGCTGAGGGCAGGGCTAGCAGCCTCCAGATGTGGGAAATGGTCTGTGAACCTTAGTCTACTTCTTTCTGTGAACAATGGTCCCAACATGCTTTAAAACAGTATCTTACATTTCAATAGCTGAGAGAATAGTAAGAAGGAAAGATTATCTGTTAGACTTTTTCTCTTTCCTGATAACATTTTGACTGAATACATGGTAGGTATTTTTTGTAGGTTCAGACAAGCAGGTTTCTGTGGCAACTCCCTTACGATCTCCTTTTCTCCTGTGTTCTAGAAGTTACTCTTCTCCCTCTTTTTATTTTTTTTTATTTTATTTTTTTTTAAGATTTTTATTTAGTTATTTGACAGACAGAGATCACAAGTAGGCAGAGAGGCAGGCAGAGAGAGAGAGGAAGGGAAGCAGGCTCTCCGCTGAGCAGAGAGCCCGATGTGGGGCTCGATCCCAGGACCCTGAGACCATGACCCGAGCCGAAGGCAGAGGCTTAACCCACTGAGCCATCCAGGCGCCCCACTCTTCTCCCTCTTTGTATCTTCCTGAATTTTATTCTAACTATTACTAGTTGAGAGTGGGAATGTTAGGGTGTGAAGTATTTTAGAATGACCCCTAATAATGAACAAAGATAGATTCTGCTAGTTTGGGGAAACCTAAGCTTATTGTAGAATAAAGTAATTTTGGGGGGGTACTTTTTCCTTAAAATAGTACCAGTAGCAGACTACCATGATTGAGACAATGCTAGAAAATAAAATACAGAGAGAAACTTTCATATGGCAGTTTTTAAGAATTGTACCCACATGAATATTTTAAATTAATTTAGTTTGATAGATGTCCAATTCATACTTTTCTTTGCAAAGATGTGATGTAAACATTTTTAGGCAATTTAATTAAAAGAAAAAGCAATTTTTTTTTTTCCTAAAGAGATTGTATTCTCAGTTTGAAGAAAATAATAGTTAAGAAGCTTGGGCTTGGGGCACCTGGGTGGCTCAGTGGGTTAAAGCCTCTGCCTTCAGCTCAGGTCATGATACCAGGGTCCTGGGATTGAGCCCCGCATTGGGCTCTCTGCTTGGCGTGGACCCTGCTTCTGCCTCTCTCTCTCTCTGCCTGTCTCTCTGCCTACTTGTGATCTCTGTCTGTCAAATAAATAAATAAAATCTTAAAAAAACAAACAAAAAAAAAGAAGCAGCAGCTTAGGCTTTGGGACACCTGGTGGCTCAGTTGGTTAAGTGTCTGCCTTCAGCTCAGGTCATGATCTCAGGGCCCTGGGATCAAACCCTGCGTTGGGCTCCCTGCTTAGTGGAGGGTCTGCTTCTCCCTCTCCCTCTGCCCTTCCCTGCCTAGCTCGTGCTTTCTCTCTCTCTCTCTCTCTCTCTTTCTCTCAAATAAATAAAAGCTTAAAAAAAAAAAGAATTTTAGGCTTTTTCAAAGATAATTCAAGGAAAAGAGTGGCACCAGTGACAGAAATAGGGACTCCATAAAGGCTTGCAGGTTTGCAGGATGGCAATGATGGTAATGAATTTGGTTTGGTGATAAATATGGCCTGTATTAAATGGAGTTGTCTTATAGGCAGATGGTGATACAATCCAGGAATGTAAAGGTGAGATCATATTTGGAAGTCATTAATTTATTCATTAACAAATATTAAGTGTCTGCTGTGTACCATGCATTGTGTTAGCTCCACAGATACAGTTTTTTTAATCATTTTTTAAAAATTTATTTATTTATTTTTTTAAAAGATTTTATTGTTTTTTTATTTTTTATTTATTAATAAATAAAAAGATTTGATTTATTTTATCTTTATCTTTTATCTTTAAATAAAAAGATTTTATTTATTTTAAATATTTATTTATTAATAAATAAAAAGATTTATTTATTTGACAGAGAGAGATCACAAGTAGGCAGAGAGGCAGGCAGAGAGAGAGAGAGAGAGGAGGAACAGGCTCCTTGCTGAGCAGAGAGCCCAATGTGGGACTCGATCCCAGGACCCTGAGATCATGACCTGAGCTAAAGGCAGCAGCTTAACCCACTGAGCCACCCAAGTGCCCTAAAAATTTATTTTCAACATAACAGTATTCATTGTTTTTGTACCACACCCAGTGCTCCATGCAATCCGTGCCTTCTCTAATACCCACCACC